GGAAAAAGGCAATATGTACTTCTAAATTTTCTGCACTTCGGGCTTCTGTTACTTATTGCACTAGAAGAGTGCATACCTTCCTCCACAGCTAAAAGCTAGTTATTTAGGGACAAGGCCCTTGGCTTACTCATTCCAGTATATCCTACAGTAGGCTACACAATAGCCTCTCTGAGGCAGAAACTAATAAGTATTCACTGAATCACAATAGCAACAATAACCACAATAATATCTAAATCTGACCATGTTTACTAGGTGCCAAAAGCAGTGTGAGTGCTTTCAATGCATGGTCTCATTTTGTGCTGTTTTAGTCACTGAGTCATGTCCAGTTCTTTTGAGACCCCATGGACTGTAGCCCACCAGGCTTCTCTATCCATGGTATTTCCCAGGCAAGATTTCTGGAGTGGGTTGCCATTTCCTTCTCCAGGGGATCTTACTGGCCCAGGGATTGAACTCTCAACTCGTGCATTGGCAGGTGGATTCTTTACCACTGAGCCCCCAGGGAAGCCCGTTGTCTCATTTAAACCCCTACCAAATTCTTGTGAAATAAATCATTTCCTTCTTTCAGAGGAGGAAAGTGAGGCACAGGTTAAGTCACTTGCTCAAATTCATTCAGCTATAAGTACAGTCTGGATTCCAGAGTTAGAATTCTTCATGAAGTAAGTATTATCTTTATCCACATTTTACAGCTGAGGAAACAAAAGCTCAGGAAGGTTAATAACTCATTCAGGATCACATAGCTAACAAGTTGTTGTGCCTGGTTTCAGCATCTGCCCTCTTAATTAGGTACCGCACTGACTCACAAAAGGATAAATTTTAGATATACTTCAGATTGTCACACAATTATATAAAGTTGATTCTATCAAACTGAAGCCTAACTGTTTACTAAATGTAACAAAGAAATTTAAATGTCAGCTCTCAAGCCTTTTTTTTTTTTTTTCCATTATAGTAGTAAAATATCTTTCTGGAAGGGCAGAACTTCCTTCAGACTCAGAAGTGGTAACTCTTGCGTCACTCTAGAAAATTACAACACAGAGACGACACATTAATTTTTATAGTTTACATCTAGGCCTTAGGCTTCCTACCTTCCCTCTCCCGCTCCATCTCTCTCTGTGCCCCATCTGGTCAACAAAGTGTGTGCTTTCTGGAGGCAGGCAGTGGCCCTTCCCACCACTGCCTGATAGTGGCTTCTCCTCCTGGGTGGTTGCTCGTTACATACCCCATCCTATCCCATTTCAGTGTATGTTCACTGAAACATTGGGAGCTTTTCTCACCTCCTTTCTGTAGACCCAAGAAGCCCAGATTTGGACCAGAATCAAAGATTGCAAACAGAATGTTTTGGATACTGATTTTAAGATAGTTTCCTTTAATAGAACAGTGGCCCTCTGCCTTGCCTGCGCATTGGAATTACCTGAGGGATTTCAAGAAAATTCTCATTTGGATTCCACCCTCAGTATTTCTTTTTTTTTTCCATTTATTTTTATTAGTTGGAGGCTAATTACTTCACAATATTGTAGTGGTTTTTGCCATATATTTAATTGATCTGAGATACACCCTGGGCACCTGGAGTTTCAAAAACTACCAGGAGCTCCAATGCACAGGTGAAGATGCAAACCACCACAGGGTTCCTCAGCCTTGGCACTATTGACATTCAGTACCAGATAATTCTTTGTCCTGTGCATTGTAGAATGTTTACCAGCTTCTCAAACCTTTACCTAACAGATACCAATAACACCCTCCCCAGTTGTGACAACAAAAAATGTCTCTAGGCTTGACAGATGTCTTGGGTGAGGGATACAAAATCACCCTTATTGTGAACCATTGTCTAGAGCCACTGCCAGTAGCCTGGGCTGTGAGAAGTCTCCCAAAAAGAAAAAAAAAAAGAAGGGAGACTTCTGTTTCATTCTTTCTAACAGGAAAATATATAAAGATGTCAGGGATACCTAGCAGAAAACTCTCCTGTCATTGGAGGAAACCTAATCAGGGTGGCTTTTTTTTTTTTCTTTTTAAGAAGAGTTTTAAATTTCTAAGCAAACAGATGGTTTATTTCTTGGGAGAATAATAGAGAAACATATCTTCAAGAGTAGAGAATTAAGGAAATGATACAGATCTTTCTAGCTGATCTGAAGCACAACAGAAGGAAACTATATCTTTTTTTTTAATTAGTGTGAACAGCCTGGCCTGGGTGAAATATTGTCTCCTGCTGACAAGTTGCTGCTGGCAACAGGGAGATAAAGTACACGGGCTTGGATGCTAAATGGAAGTAAACCCAGAATGTTTCTTTAGCTCTAGGAAGGTTTTGCCAGCACACTGATAACAGAGTGAACCAAAATAGGTGAGAGTCTAGGTTTGTGTAAGAGAGGAGCGTTATTGTTGAGTTGCTAAGTTGTGTCTGACTCATGATCCCATGGACTGTATCCTGCCAGGCTCCTCTGTCCGTGGAATTCTTCAGGCAAGAACACTGGAGTGGGTTGCCATTTCCTTCTCCAGGGGACCTTCCTGATTCAGGGATCTAATCTGAGTCTCCTTCATCTCCTGCATTGCAGGCGGATTCTTTACTGCTGAGGACTTCCCTGGTGGCTCAGATGGTAAAGCGTCTGCCTACAGTGAGGAAGACCCAGGTTTGATCCCTGGGTCGGGAAGATCCCCTGGAGAAGGAAATGGCAACCCACTCCAGTATTGTTGCCTGGAAAATCCCATGGCTGGAGGAGCCTGGTAGGTTACAGTCCACGGGGCCGAAAAGAGTCGGATACAACTGAGCGACTTCACTTTCACTTTCTTTACTGCTGAGCCATTGCTAGAATGAGCTCATTATGTAAGCGCTGGAATTTGGGAACATTTAGTGGTTGTCCTGTTTTGGGGTTATTTGAGAGAAGATTCCAGCAAGCACTGCAGGGGCGTGGGTAGGTAAGAGGGAGGGAAGCTACTAATGGATGTGTTTTCAGAAGTTGCCACTTTGAGCAGTGAAGCTTAATACCCTGGCTGAACACAAGCCTCAGGTATGGAGCAAGAGAATTGGCGGATTTATCCACTAATTTCCACTCTGTTGGTTGAGGACTGTGTGCAGGGCCATTCACTCCTCAGAACTTTTGTTCTGGTTTGGGCCTCAGGCAATATTGTGAGTGTGTTGCTGGCAACTGGAAGCAGTGGCCAACACAGGATGGTGATCACTGATGGGGTCTAGGCGAGTCACTGGCAACCTGCTGCAGTGGTCAATTTAGAAATTTATCTAGGGACTTCCCTGGTGGTCCGGTGGTTAAGACTTTGCACTTCCAGTGCTGGGGGCATGGGTTCAATCTCTGGCCAGAGAACTAAGATCCCATATGCTGGGCAAATAAATAAAAATTAAAAATTTTTTAATTTAAAAATATTAACTGTTTTACTAGCTTACAATGTTTAATTTTTAATAAAGACAGCTTAATATGGTATGGAACTTTGGGAAAGCACATCAGCTACTAAGAAACCTCAACATTTGAGACCAAGAAATGCCACTGCCAGAAACCCACAGTAGTCCCACGCCATCTGCAACTCCTCTTTCCCACACCCCTTACATCCAGTCCACTAACAAGTTCTTTCAGGTCTAGTCCAAAGCTTTCATGGATTTATCCACTTGCTCCCTGCTGCCACTTCATTAGTCCAGGACAATGGTGTCTTTTGCCTGGACTATTGCAATGGCCCGGTCCTGGGCTCCCCACACTCACCCTCCTTTCAGTTCCTTAAATTCACAAGGCTTCTTCTTGGAATGCTCCTTTTCCCCACCCCACCCCAGACCAACCCTACTTTTCCTATGACTTGCTCCTTCCTATCCCTTCCCAGTTCCCAAAGCACCTGTATATCATGCTTAGTTGCTAAGTTCTGTCTGACTCTTTGCAAAATGGGATTCTCCAGGGAAGAATACTGGAGAGGGTAGCCATTCCCTTCTCCAGGGGATCCTCCTGACCCAGGGATCAAACCCAGGTCTCCCACATTGCAGGTGGATTCTTTACTGTCTGAGCCACCAGGGGAGCCCTAGGTGTCTTATCCTTTAGGTTTGGCTGAATGTCGCTTCATCAAAGACCTGAAGAAAGATGTCCCCCTCCCACCCATCATTCCCATCTCAGTTCCTACTTGTTTTCTTCTTTGCATGTTTCTCAATTTGCAATTATTTTGTTTGCGTATTTTGTCTCCCTATCTATAATGTGATCTCTGTAAGGGCAATGACCATGCTTATCTCTTGACCTCCATATCCTCGTAGGATTGACAAATTTAGTAAATAAAAACACAGGTGTGGGACTTCCTTTGGGGTCCAGTGGTTAAGACTCTGTCTGTCTAGTGTAGGAGGTGAGGGTTCGATCCCTGGTCAGGGAACTGAGATCCCACATGCTGTGCAGTGAGGGGGAAAAAAAATAGAGGCATATCAGTTAAATTTGAATTTCAGATAAACTACAAATAATTTTTAGTATAGGTATATCCAAGTAATGCACAGGACATATACTAAAAATTATTCATGATTTATCTGAAATTCACATTTAACTGGATATCTTATTTTATCTGGCAACCCTAGTTCCTAGGCCCCAACTCTCATTACTCAATGTTAAATAAAAATTTGGTAGCAGCATATCAAAACTGCTACTATGGCAACAAAGTGAGGGAAATGTGTTCAAACTACAAAGTAGTGACAAATACCACTTCCCATTTCTTTTTGTTCTTTTGCCTGTCTTCTCATTCCAGGAGAACCTAATCACCTGGTCCAATCTCATGGACTCCCCTTCCCGTTCACCCCACACCTGCCTCGTCAATACCTGATTATGACCAATTGTCACTTTCACAGAACACCAGTAAGTATTTATTGAGTAATTAAGCTGACAGAATTTAATACATTTCTAAAAATGTTTAAGTTCCTTGACTATGAAAAAGTGAGTTCCCATTTTAACCAACCCCCCTCCCCAAACATTGCCAAAGGGCATGGGATTCTGAAGGCAATCACACAAATCCATTCTCAACTATTGCATCATGCTCCAGTCTCAATTAGTTTCTGCAGGGTTCCTGGAATTGGGGGTGAAGTGGCTCTTGAGAGGTTCCCAGCATTTGTAGTAGTTCTCATCCAGACAGTTAGAGGTCTTCAGCCCCCACTTGGTGACGGCCATATTTAGGGAAGACTCAAACATAAATGCCTGTAGGGAATGAGGATGGAGACAAGAAAGAGGAAGTGAGGTGGATAGTAAAACACATTTGACTAGATGTCAAGAGAGAAGATATGGGTAGGTAGACTCTTTGAGTAATAAATCACATGTGCTTGCATGGGAAGGAGAAAATACTCAAGCCTTGGGTTCTGACTCTGGATCTTACTACTTACAAGTGGGTGATAGCTTGTATGAAACCCTCAGCTTCTCTGACACTGAAGTTTTATTCTTACTAAACTGGAGTTGGGCACATAAGCATCACATTGTTCTTGTAGCACTATGGAGCTAAATTTGCTAGATCCAAGGGCAGAGGTGGGAGAGTCCTGGGATTATTCTTTTCAGGGGCCATTATGGTGGCTATGTCCATGTAAGAGAGAACATAATTCCCATTTAACAGATGAGGAAACTAGGGTTCAGAGCTGGGAAGTGACTGTCTAAGATGGTAGTAATGAGAAGTTGCAGATTTCGGATTTGAGCCTTTCTTTTGCAGGACTCTGACCAAGAGATAGGCTAGGGAAGGGAAAAGAAGGAAAAGAGAGACTGAGGAGGCAGGAAGAAGGGAGCAGGAATGGCTGTTGCACTTTTAAAAGCCCTGTCCCAGAAGGTTCTGAATGGTGGGTGTCCTTCTATGTTCAGGCAGGTTTTGTCTGCAACAGAAAGCATATGCAAGTGCCCTGTGCATCCTTGACATTCCAGCTTCACCTACTGCTGATTTTCTGACCAATTATGGCTTTAAAAAAAACAAAACCCTACAATTCTTATGTACTCATATTGTTGGAAATTCTAAAAATATAGATGGACAAAAGGAAGATAAAAATTCTCTTTGTGCCACGACTCAGAGAACCCCTGTTAATGTCTGGCATACACTCTAATATGTATTAACTTCTTTTTGTCTATAATGATAGAGATGATGGTCCCTGCTTGACTTCCCACGACAAACTTGATGTGAGGTGTTGGACATGTTATAAAGCACTATTCAGATATAAAGATCATTATTATGGACATAATTATTGTTGTCTCTTTGCTAACTGCTTCTTAGGAGACTTCCTGTCTGACTGGACTAACAAAGCCCCATCCCAGCTGAGCTATGAAGGCGGTATTATAAAGTTAATTTATTCCAAAGTAGTATAAGGATAAGGCATGTGGATGAGCCTGGATCCAAATTACATAATGGGAAAAGGGGAGGGAGACCCAAAGTCTTGTTCCTCACAAAAACAGCCCTGTCCTGTGCTTCACTGTTGCAGAACACTGCTCCCTGGTAACATTATCCAAAGCCAGGTTGGGCATTCAAGGTTACTAAGTGGTAACTATGGGATAGCCTGTGTACCTCCAGGAACTTTCGGAGGTAGTAGCTTAAGATGATGAATATCTCATAGAGCTCTCACACAGAGATGAAAGTGTTCTACAGAAACTGCAGAGGCCCTTGCAAGGAGAAACGGAGCTGAGGTCTGGCAGATGAGACTCACACCCTGCCCCTGAAGATAAGCTTCATCGACTCTGGTCCTTGAGTTGGGACTGAAAGCAATCTGCATTGTGTTGGGTAGAGGGGCAGATAAGCTCTCTGCTTAGGTAGTTTGCAAGCTGGGCATGGAGTCTGGCTGGTCTGTGCTATTGATTTTAAAGTCAGATAACATTGAAGGCATTGGTTTAAAAATGTAAAGCAAGTTTGCATATGATGTCGCATAAAATTACTCCTTGTGGTTCATAAACTCTACCTCCAAAAATGCAAAAATAAAATGAAATCAAGTACCACAGCCAACTGCAATTGTGTTCAGTTTCAATGTTTACAGCGTGACACAGGAAGAATACAAAATAGCTTTTAAATCTCATCAGTTTCATCCCTTGCCAAAGGAAAGCAAAAGAAAATGAGAGAACTGCTGCTCACAAGCCCTGACTATAGTCAGGCAAATGCTTCCTGACCCTCCTGGGCTTGAGAAACCAGCTAAAAGTGACATCCTGCAAACGCTGCTGCTGTGGTCCTGGAGGATGACTTAAAAAAGCAGGAGATGACTCTGAGACAGAACATATATATATAGACTATATATATACAGGGTCACATACAGATGAGGGAAGACTCCTGACACAGTGTTAATAATGTCTCCCCTTTTGTCTGAACAGTGTGGTACAGTCAGCAGGGTTAAATCACAGCCACCAGCTTCACAGGATGCCCTAACTTTTCTACAGATGGAGAAAAAGAAGCACAGAGAAGTTACGTAAATTCCTCAAGGTCACACAGGAACCAAGAGCTAGAATTCAAACCTAGACCTGACTCCAAGTACAAAGCTCTTTTTATCCTAACACGTCAGGCATCTAGTATACACACAAGGGTGTGTGCATACACAGGTGGGAACATACAGACAGACACTTTCCTCTCCAGACTTCTCCTCTGTGACTTTGGAGAAATAAAAAATAACCATTCCTCTCAACAAGGTTGGGGATCCCAGAGACCACCAGAGCCTCATATCTAACTTGCTTACCATGGTGCCATCAGCGATCCTCTCAGGTGCCAGCTTGGCTTTGCTGGCCTTCTCAAAGCAGTCGGCATCAGGCCCATGGGGAGTCATTGGGCTGTGCAGGCTGCCTCCCCCTGGCAGGAACCCACTTTGCTTTGCCTCATAGTGACCTTTGATGAGTCCCATGAATTCACTCATGCAGTTCCCTGGGAAGATTGAAAAGTATTCTTATTATCCAAGGCAAGGACCCCAAACACCAAGACTTCTCAAACATTATTTCCACAGAATGTCAAGAAGAGAGGAGAATCATAAAATTTCATAGAAATAATAAAGAACATAGACATGAAAATAACCACAAAACATTCATTAGTGTGGAATTCTTGGTATGCAAAGCCCTACTCCATGGCTGTGTAGATTAACAGAGGACTTAGGTTTCACTGCCTGAACGAACTTATGTTAGATCTAAAGAAAAGCAGGGCCCAAACAAGAATTTTAATAATAACTAACATACAAATCATGATAAAGAGTGAATGTACTCCATCATCTAGGCTTACAAGCCCCATATAAAAATCATCCACTTTCCCAGATCTGAATTCCTTCCCAAATAACTTCACAGTAGTACAGGGCATCACCATATTTCTGGTTACATATTAGAAAATTAAAGTGGTGGGGTGTGTGTGTGTGTGTGTGTGTGTGTGTGTGTGTGTGTATACATTGCTGGAAATGGGATATAAGGAAAGAACCCTGGACTTGGATTCCATTATCAAATAATAATTTGTGTGAAAAAATCTTATTATCTATCATCTAATCCATAAATACTATATATTTTAGCAAATAACTTCTGTATCTGAATCTAATATCATCTTATTCTTTCATTTTCCAAAATGCTTCTTAGATTCATTCCTTTTCCATTGACATTCTCTTCAAAGAACCTGAAAATCTTAATACTGGAAGGGATCCCTGAAAAAAAAGTGAAAGTGTTAGTCGCTCATTCATGTTCAACTCTTTGTGACCCCATGGACTGTAGCCCGCCAGGCTCCTCTGTCCATGGAATTCTCCAGGTAAGAATACTGGAGTGAGTAGCCATTCCCTTCTCTAGGGAATCTTCCCAACCCAGGGATCAAACCCAGGTCTCCTGCATTGCAGGCAGATTCTTTACCATCTGAGCCACCAGGGAAGCCCAGGGGATTTCACCCTTCTACTCAATACAGAAATAATCTGTGTATCATTCCTGATAAATAACCTGCGTGCCTCCTGTGAACTGAAGTGCCCTACTCAACAAAGGAATCTGTCATATTACTGAGGACTCTGGGCGTTAGAAAGTTCTCCTAAGTCAAATGGAAACTTGCTTTCATGTAAGTTGAGTATATTGGTCCTAGTTGTGCCTCCTGGAATCAACAAAATTGACAAAAATCACCATGTTCCCACTCTTTCTATCTTACATTTCTGTTTAAACAAAGCTTTTTATTTAGAGCAAGAATTAAAAGAAATACAACACCTTGAAAACATCTACTCATCTATGCATCCATCCATTCATTTGTCCATTCCCCTCCCTATTCATCTGCCTATCCATCTAACCAGCATATATGGACACTGCTAAGTACTGTGATAGAAATGAGTAAGAAGCAGCCTCTTTAATGTTTCTCATAGTCTTAGTCGGTCCTGTGAGAGTGCTGACACTGCAAATCATAGACAGAGTAGAGAGATATGGAAGGCACTGGCAAACATTGCAAAGTTTAACATTTGACATGATAAATACGCCACTCCTCTTCCCTACATGTGAATATAGGCAAGTGGCAAAATACTTGTCAGTCAGTTCAGTCGCTCAGTCATGTCCGACTCTGCGACCACATGGACTGCAGCACACAAGGCTTCCTTGCCTATCACCAACTCCTGGAGCTTGCTCAAACTCATGTCCATCGAGTTGGTGATGCCATCCAACCATCTCATCCTCTGTTGTCCCCTTCTCTTCCTTGTGGAACTGCCCAAACAATCGTACCCATTTTGCCCAGAAACCAAAATGTTGCTGCAGGCCCCTGCAGAAAACGCAAGACCTAGATTATAGCACTACTTGTTTCTCCATGAAGCAGAAATAGAGGGGGAAAAGTAACTGTAAGCATATAGTGTCTACATTTTAAAAGCAGTTCTGCTCATGACTTAAATATTCTGGCATACTCCTCTATCTAGTATGTGTCCTCAGGGTCACCTTCAAGGCTTAATTTTAAGAAGAGAGCAAGAATGAGTTCAGCTTTGATCTGAATATGAATTTAGGTAGCAATGAGTTGGTGATGACATTTCTACATCATTTTCTATATTTCAAAGGACAGTGGGAAGGTAGACCTTGCCTTTTTGATTAATGCTGAATCCAGTCGACTAAGGTGCATTAAGATGACTGGAGGCAATATTTCTACAGAAATCATTCTCCACTTCTGTAAAGTCACATCAAAGTAGCAAAGATTTCGGTTATTGCTAAAGCATTATTTTTAATGTCTCTGGTAAAAAATAATTTCTAACTCAGGGTTCTGTGGTTTTTCCAACTAACTCAGGGCAATCAAGCCTTTCTGAGATCTGTCTCTCCTGAGCCAAATTTATTTCAGAGTTATTTATAAAAAAGAAGTTATAAGAGGCATTCATGAGGTCACTTGTTTCAGGCAGTCTGAATTACAAATTAAAGTCAAGCAGTGGGTTGAACGCTGTAGCAGAGTAGGGAACCTGGATGGGGAAGACAAACCCCAGGCCAGCATATCTCAGCATGTGGTCTGTGGAGCTCTGGCATCAGAATCACTGACTTGCTAGCTCAAAATGCAGATTCCGAGGTTCCACCTCAACACCAACTAGTTCAACTCTCTGATAGCAGACCTGTGGGAATTTTTTTAAAGGCATTCTATTAATAAGTGATTTTTATATCCTCTAATGCTCTCAAAGTGTGGTTCCTGGAACAGCTGCATTAACATCACTCAGGAATTTGTTACAAATGCAAATTTTCATGGAGGGAGGTCCAAGAGGGAGGGGATAGATGGATACATCTGGCTGATTCACTTCATGGTACAGCAGAAACTAACACAACATGGGAAAGCAATTATACTCCAATTTAAAATAGAAAAAACAACCCACCAATTCTCAGGCCCTACACTGGATACTCTGAGGGTGGGTCCAAGGAATCTATGTTTTAACTCTCCAGGTGACACTGACATATGTTAAAATTTGAAAACCAGTGCCTCTGGCATATACAGCACCCTCCATAAAGAACTATGTGAAATAGGGAAGTACCAAGGATTAGTATGTTAGGGTCAGACTATAGTTCAGACCAAGCCTCTCGCCTTGACAACAGGTCCTCTAGGGGACTAACTTCCAGGAGGAGAAGAGTTAGGACATGTGATGGGCTTGATATTCCTCAGAAAGGACAAAATTTGTTATATCTCTATTCACAAAGTATCTGGTGTCTTTGAAGCGTTAAACTAATTGCATCCTTTTCAGCTGATGTCACCTGAAAAAGGCAATGCTGACATTTGACCACGAAGTGACCTTCTTTCATTCTGAAGGCCTTTGTCCTCCACCCTCTGAAACACCTACATTGCTCATTTTAGCCAAAGCCCTGGCACCTGGGCACATATAGAGAAGAGCCCCAGAGAGACAAAGTGCTGAGGTTAACTAAAGAAAGGGGCTTTTTAAAAAACAATGTTACAGCTGAAGTGCACCTCAGAGTCTTTCCAGAACTCTGTGTACAAAAGTGCAATATCCAGGAAGGAGAATTGTGCATTGACATTTAGGTTGAATTTATAGCTAGCTACTGCACAATTAAAAATGCTACCTTCATTAAGTACACCATGAGGTACCTTATTCATTCTTGGTGATGCATTCACCCACTAAATAAATACTTATTGGATGCATATCATGCACTGGGCACTGTGCTAGGGACATCCATTAATGCCCATGACTGTCTGCTCTGGCATCAGACTGTCTTCACGTCCAGTACTTCATCAATACTTCACTGACTCCACCACTTAACTAGCTGTGAGGACTTGACCCTTCACAGCTCAGTTGCATCTTCTTAAAAAAAAAAAAAGAAAGGATAATGATACCTATCTCTAACAACAGTTATGAGAAATAAATGTGTTAATACTTTTGAAGAACTTATTACAGAGTCATAAAGAAAGGGTCAATAATTTTTAATTTCCCTGGTGGCTCAGACAGTAGAGAATCTGCCTGTAATGCAGGAGACCCGGGTTCAATCCCTGGGTCAGGAAGATCCCCTGAAGAATGGAATGGCTACCCATTCCAGTATTCTTGCCTGGAGAATTCCATGGACAGAAGAGTCTGGTGGGCTACAGTCCACGGGGTTGCAAAGAGTCAGACATGACCGAGCGACTAACACTTTCACTTTTCACCAAATAAAAATAATATTAATAAAATTAAAATAATAGATTTGACAAGTTATCTGTTCTAGATAACAACTGCTTTGCAGAAACTGCTTCCAGAATAGGATCTTTCCCCTGGTGTGGACTGCAATCTGCTTTACCCTTCCAAAACCAATGGAGAAGGCACACTTTATTGGCTCTTGAGCCAGACTGAGATAATGAACTCTCCCAAAACAACAAACTAAGAAACAACAGCCCACAGATTCACCTCCCTTTGCACCTGAAATGTAAGGTAATGTCTTGCTTCAAGCTTCACCAGCCTTTGTGCCTCTCTTCGGGGCCAGAGGAACTGGGCTTTAGGCATTACACAGGGTTTTCTCTTCAGAGTCAACACGCCACTGCCAACTTGATGCCAAACATCACAAGTTGTGATGTTTAAGAAGCTAACAGTCTAGGGAGCAGCACTGGGCCTTGGGAGGCAGGATTCTGAACTGTAGCCAGGGCAGGACATCTTGCCTCTAGAAAAACCTCTAGCAGTATTCCCCAGGGTTCATGTTGACCACTTGGCTGTCTCTCTCTCTCTTTTTTTTCCCCAAATGTAACTTGGCAGATGACTTACTGTGGTAATAAGGAGGCCTGAAGGTCTTATCAGCAACCCCCCATCGAGGTGGGAAGATGACAAAATCAGCGATGGCCACTCCAGGGCGTACAGACTTGGCAGTCAATACCGTGAAAATGGATGGGTCCTGGGAAAGGAAGGACAAAAAGAGCCTGAAGACATGATGAAAGGGGAGGTGACCAACAATGACACACATCCCCCATGCTGAAGGGGTTTTCAAGTGACACTGTAATTTCTGATCAAACTGCAGGCCAGGCTACGAAGTCTGGGCTTGTCATCGAGGTGCAGTAATCACTCATTTGACTTTCCCCTCTTGCTGTGCTTGAAGCAAAATAAATTAACAGCAGCCAAGGGGATTCTGAGCAGCTTTTTCATCCTGCTGAGCCCCCATTTCATGTAAGTACTACCCTGTGGGTCTGAGAACCAGCAGTGCCTGCCTCCCAACCTCAGGTCAGAGTGACTGGAACCGACATGTGCTGCAGGGAGCTCTTGGCAGAAGGGATGCTCAGAGTGAGGTGGAAATAGAAATAAAATAATATCTGAGTGTTGGGATAGATGTAGGATGCACATCTCTTCGGAGGAATCACTGAGATTCCAGACGGTATCTTCATGGCTTTTTTTATCCTTGTTTGACTCTCAGGCCTAAAATATTAATACATCACTCATCTGGGTGGTAGTGTAGAGGGGAATAGGTTTGGGGACAATATTATGATTTGAAAAGAATGTTAGACTCTTTCAGTGTTTGTAAAGAATGTTAGACTCTTTCAGTGGAAAGATTGAGATTCAAATTTAATGGCAGTCAGTGTGATCAGGTCTGCTTTCTGATGTCATATGAGGGTTGGGGATTCAAAGATGACTGAACTCTATTCCTGGCCCTTCAGCACCATTGGTGGTGGTGGCAAGTGTGTGTGAAGGGGACAGAAGGAGTAATGAAACAAGTGTCTGAAGAATCACAGCAAGGTGCCAAGGGCGATCTATCTTTGTAAATAGAGATCCAAAGGGGTACAGAGTGCTTATCTCTTCCTGAGAAGATCAGGGAAGGCTTCACAAAGGAGGTGATATTTGAGGTGGGTCCTGAAGAATGAATGCAGAAAGAAAGAAAAAGAGAGGGAATAAGAAAGGGAGGGAAGGAGGAAGGTAGGAAAAAAGGAAGGGAAGGGAAGGAAAGGAAGGAAAAGGCAAAAAGGAATTTTAAGCATAGAAAACAGGAAAGACATCAAAATGCACAGAGATTTTGTTAAGAAGCAAGATAACTAAAGCCCAGAGTGCATTGGCAGGAGGGAGAGAGGCAGAGGTGGTCCTGGGAAATAAGTCCAGGGCCAGATGTTGACGAGCATAGGATACCACGCTTCAAAGCTCAGACTTAATCCTAAACCACAGGGAGCCTGCAAAGGTTTGTAATGTAGCATTAGAAAGATCAGGTCTGAATTTTGGGAAAATAACTATAGCCACAGTACAAAGAATGTCTGTGTAAATGCAAGTCAAGAAACCCTTAATGCTGCGAGAATGAATACTTCTTCATCTGTCATGAGAAATGATCTGAAACTGTTAAAAGGCAGTGAGGCTCAAAAAAAGCTCTTTCAGTGTCTCGGGATCCTTTTTTTTTTTTTTTTTGCTGCTTTGGGCATGATGCCTCGTTTTCTTGTCTCTTGGTTTTATCGAGTTGCTGCTCTTCAGAAAGGTAGTTTTGAGCCCCGAGAGGTAAACTGAACTGGCTTAGAGTAATCTTTCTGTCTTTGGTTCTCTGACTTCTGCTCTAATTGTCCCTCCAGTTTGTGGGTTAAGTTAATCTATTATGCAAAGTGAACTTTCCCCCAGGATCTCAGAACTAGCACTTTATCATGAAAGTGGGTCCTTGGGGGCCTGCACTGTAGACTGGGGACCTATTTGCAGCCCCTGATTGAGTGAAAAATATGACCGAGTTCATACTCTAGAATTTCTTTGGTTTAAATTCAAGCACTGAATGTTACGAGTAACTTCAGAAGAGAGCTGTCAGTCCCATCTCAGCTAAAAAGAGCCAGGAGTAGAAGTTCTGAAGTGGGCAGGCAGACTTTTGGTATTTATGAGGACAGAGAAATTTCCAAATTTTGGAATTTTCCTTTCTCAATACTCCATCACTGATATTAGCAGTTGGTTTTCTTATTGGGATACATTGTCTAGGAGGAAATCGTGTTCTTAGCCAGGAAGGAAAGTTCCTGTGAATACCCTGTAGAGAACTGAGCTGTGTGGCAGGGTGAATGCTGAGTGTCTAGTCTTGATCTCCCTCTGGGAGGTTGTTTACTCCATCACTGAAGCCTTGCAGCAGATGATTCAAATTCCTGTCAGCACAATGACAGATGACTTAAGTCTCGGGCTTCCAAGGCAACACTGGAAAGGTTGAATCTGTGAACACCAGGTGTCTACTGTGGACCTGTCCAGCCTAAAGGGACCCTCTCCCCAGGGTTCCTCCATGGGTCAGACTTACTGCATGGTCAAAGGCCACTGAATTGATGACCATAAAGTTCTCCAAGTTGTACTTGTAGGGGGTATAATTCCCATGCCAAGCCACAACATTGAATGGGGAGACATCCTAAGTGACAAAAAGAAAAAGCAGGAGAGGGTGATTTTAGCACATAATGCTTTTGTAGCTATGATTCCTCAGTTTGTACTCGGCATTACTGTCTCTTGATTTGATTCTATTCGCATAACTTAATAATACCATCCTTTGGGAGAAATATCACCCTGAATCATTTTATGGTTGCTTCACTTTCTCTCAAACTGTCCTCCCTGAGCCACTGACCCTATTCTTCCAGTACATCAGTTATAGCTGCCTCTGATCACACGTGCAGCAGAAGCACGGCCAAGTAGTGCCTTTTCAACAATACTAATGCAATGGTGAGAATCTGTGGATGCCAGCAATTCTTTGACAACCTAGGCCACCATCTGGGTGCTGAGGGCAGGCACTGGCTGCAACTGTTCTCCAAGTAACTACTGCTCAAAGGAGCGTCTGATAGATTTAGTGCCTGAGTTGGTGAGTGAGGATGGTGAGGAGTTCTCTAATAGTCCCAGCCCCAAGGACTTGAGATTTCAGAGCAATCCTAAGGTGATGCTTCTTGGGTCTGCCCTAAGAGAGGATCAGTGTTCTGCTATAGGAAGGTAGTTAGGCTAGCGAGTCCAGGTGATACAGTCCATGGAGATCAGTCTCCCAGGGCACAGATCACGGCACACAAGGAAGAACAACCTTCATAGAGTTCACTTAGAGTGTGGAAACCCATGGAGCTGCTGGCCGCCTCTAGAATGGTGCTTCTCTGTCAAATATATATCATATACAATACAGGGAACATGCTTTAAATGAATGCGATTTCCATACTGAATTTCCAGAGGTTATCATTTATGCCAGGCTGGAGTAGTATCTAAGCATGTTCATTTTAAACAAGCTACCCTGAGAACTTCTGATGCAAATGGTCTCTGAAATACATTTTAAGAAATCCAATCCAGAGAATATGAAGGTGACTATGTATCACTGAGGATGGCAATTAACCCTCAGAAGTTAATTTTAAATGCCAAACTCATTGGCCTCTGCTGGTGAGCATACCTTCTAGTTGCTGTCCAAAGAAAATAACATGCCTTAGCAACATATAAGCAATAAGTTAAATGGACAAAAATAAATCAAATGAATAATGGTAAATAGAATAGATCTTTGGATTATTTTTATTATATGGTTACTGTATTCTACTACATTATATATCCAGTAAATTAAGTAACAATGTATATTACATATTATATTATTATTTTAAAATTATTATTATCTATGCCTTTGTTTATCCATTGAGATTGGTCATGTTCCGGGTGGTATGGCTGTAGACAATGCCTTTGCTTAACTCCTGAGTTTACCAGTCTGGTGCTATCAACCAAGTCAAAGTAATTAACTGAGTTTTGCTTGTTTTCTATCAGTCATTGCTTGTATTTGAAATATGGTGACTATTGATAACTATAAGTCTTAGATGAACTGCTATTAATTAATTTTCTTTTTCAGGCCATACTATCATGCCTGTTTATTATGTTCCCCCCACCTTTTATAGAGACTTAGATATTGTGGGGTTTTTTATTGCTTGATGAATAGAAACAGCATGACCTTTGGAGTCAGAAAGATATGGGTTTGAATGCTGATTCTGTCATTTACTGTGACATTTGGTAAGTTATCACTACCTGGACTGTTTTCAGGACTACAAACAGGGCAAATAGCACCTTATTGTAGTATCTTAGTGATGTAGTAAAGGTGAAATAATGTATGTAAATACTTAACACAAGCCCTGGCAATCAGAAGGTGCTTAATAATTAGTCATTCCTTCCCCTGCCTGTCCAGCCACTTACTTTACCTGTCTGGCAGCAAATAGCTTGCCCTGGTATTTATTAATCACAGTGTAACCACCTGGCACTTGGCGATCTTCATACCAGGCAACAGGTATCAAGAAATCACGAGGATTGGCCAAGCCATTGGCTCCTAGAATATAATGATCCAAAAGTCTTTTAGACACTTCTGAAATCACACAGGAAAGATGCCACTGTTGCACAAAGAAAAAGGGCTTTCTTCTATGTCAAAAGCCACTCCACAATTTGCTATCCCTGTTGAAAGACTCATTGGAATCCCAGTCTGGTACCTTTTAAGGAGGACCCAAGAAATTTGGTCAGAAAAAAGAAATCCTGAAAATATCATCACCAGCATTACCTCCTAAAGTTGTAGAGTGAATATGGTTTATAAACATTTTCCATGCATTACCCCATCACTATAGGGGATGGGAGAAGAGAGGAAGAGAGTACAAAAGAGGAAAAGGGAAGATACGATAGAATACCAGACCTTTTTTCCCAAGAAAACTCTGACAACTCTAGAACTCATCGACAGTCCTTGAGAAGAAGGTTACACACTGTAGCCTCAGGCGTGCCTCTGCTCCTCAGACAGGACTCAAAATCAATCCACGTCTGCACCACTGCCCTGCAGCCTGACAAATCTGTCTGCCGCTGAGGGAGACCTGCCTGCTCACCTTTGCTTTGTGAGTGTTCCCTCCAGAGAAAGAAAATAAATCAGAAGACCAGAAATGAAAACTCTAAGTGCAAAAACATAATTTAACTCTGAGAGAAGAGACCTAGGGAGTGTTTTATCATTTCTAGTTCCTGGGGTTAAAAAAAAAATAGGCCCCCAGCTGGTTAGCAAATTATATATCTTTTCCAGAGGGTACATGTGGCACGGCACCCGGAGGCTCTGCTGGCTGTGGAGCAGCAGGAAACCAGACCAAAGTGGGAAGAGCGGGTGGAGAGAAGGTGACAGACGGCCCACCATGACTCCAGCTGCCTCTCGGCTGCCTCCCACCTTCCTCTGACTATCTGGATCCCCCAGAGGAGTGACCAGAAGGCACATGCTGGGCTGTCCCTGTTTTGCTCTAAAAAAATCTGTTGACAAGGAAAGGGAAGAGCTGGGAGGTGTGGCCGCCACCTTCAGCAAACAAGCCAAAGATGAAACCAAGGGCCGATTTCCCCAACCACTCCTGTCACTTGAGTGATGGTTTGAGAACATCCCCTCCTACCACCTTCACTTCTCAGACCCTGCTCTCTTTGTCTCCAGCTTGCCAGAAGAATCGGGGGTAAGGGACCTTGGTTCACTTTGGAAAGTTTTCATTTGCCTCATGGAGGCTGTGGTTTCTAGCTCCTTCACAGCACTGAGTGAGGCACGCTTTTTGACTCTTAGGTATGTAGATTTTGTAGAAGGTGCTCAGTAGGAATGTGACATCCATAGACTGTCTTTCTTTCAGTCCATTTCCCCTTTCCATAGCCACATAGCCCCTGCCATTATTATGGTTTTTCCCATTTTATTGTCTACTCATAAGTCACTGACAAGAAAATGATCTCTCTTCTATCCGTGAAATCCACTCCCACTTGTACACTTTTTCTTAAACTGGTCCCTTTCCTCTATTTCTCCTCAACTTTTCATCAAGGGTTAGTCATATTTTCTGATTGCTATGAAGCTGTTCCTGGAAACTTTGGCTCACAGTAACCCAGACTTTATATCCTCTAGGCTGTACCCTGTATAACCTGAACTCTAGTACAGATTGTCTTGCTCTCCAATGGTCTGTATGCTATTCTAGAGAAAGATTTATTGTGGGTTTGCCTGGGTTGTTCTCTGTTATGCGTGTATGTGATGGGAAGAGGCTTGTGCCATCCTTGATGGTCATTACCCTCAGCACAGCATGGGAACTGGGACAAGCTGATGAACTGGTGCACTGACCAGCTAATTAATGAAGCTATCATCTCATCAAATGGGTCAACTATACCACCTGGAGCCTCTGAACTTCTGAAATAAGAAGTCTGTGATTGCTCAGGGGGCTCTAATATGTTCTGAAATTCCCAACTACACTTGGTTTGGAGAAGTTGTTTAGAGAGGAAAGTTGCAGTTTGAGTGAGATAAAGAGGAGAGATGGATGTTTAACTTTCATGCAATTATTTGTGTCCTATAGTTCAAGTCAGGCTTAGAAGCCTGCATTGAAGATTTACCAATTGGTCCCAGGTCAGGCAACTCAAAGTGGACTCCATAAACCTCCAGGATGTAGCCTCTAGTCTCCTCGAAGACATCGATGCTGAACTGCATTCCTCTCTGGAACAGAAAGTAGACACTGGTGTGCTCTCACCAATACCTATAGTTATAAAGAAGCTGCCCGAGAGCTACAGCCAACCTCACATGCACAAGTAATTCTATAGTCTGCTGAGCTATGTTGGAGAGGTGACCAGCTGAAAGATAAGTTTAAAAAATTTAACTTCTAATCACATATGTGACCCAAACCAATTCTAGCCTACACTTTCACTGGGTTCAGAGATAACAGTGCCTTGATTTCACCAAAATTTAAAGAAATCCATCTTCACTGCCTTCTGTCCCCTCCAGAGTATCATCCAGAGTGTGCATAAGTATTCAGGAAAGTGAATTGACAATGTTCTTTGCTTTGTGATTGTGTGCTATTTTAAAACAAAGTAGGCACAGAAGCCTGCTAATCCTTCTACACAGGGAGCCTTCTGTATAACTCAAACTCCCCTCCCCATTGCCCAGACATGATAGAGAAATTTCAGAGTTAGAAATAGCAGCAGCTGCAACATCTGATTGCTCCCAAATTAGGGAGAAGCTGGGAGGAGAGGGGGACACATCACCAACCTGAATGACGCAGATCTCGTTGGGCTGAACAAGCATCTTGCCAAACTCGGTGTAAATGAGAAGTTTCCCTTTCTGGGGAACTAACATAAAAGACAAGACAGCAATGAGTAACTCCTTTCATGTAAGAACCACTTCATGAAGAGTGAAAGGCTTAAGGGTGGCATTTGCTTTTTCAATCCAAATGAAAAGTGCTTCATTGAGTTTTATGGGGGAAAATGTCAGAATTGACAACTTAAGTTGGCTATTTCTAGAAAAGCATGAATGAAAAAATTGACTCTGCTTTTTTCTTATTTTTGGTTGCCAGATAAGGAGCTTGTATTTGCACAGCTCTGTGGCTTGACCAGAAAGGGCAGCAGAAATAGGATGGAAAAAGACCCATCTCTGATAGTTCCAGCAGGAAGCTGGCATTTGCGTGTCTAAGGTTTACATCAAAATGTTCATTCCAAAATATCAGTACTAAGATCATAAAAAAAGAATCAGAAAAAAAAAAAAAAAAGAATCAGGAGACCAGAGAAATCCCTACTAGACTTTCCATCTTCATGGTTTCATGAAAATTTGTATTTATATTGCAGATATCAATGACAGATGATCTTTACTTGGGTAAGTTTGAAGGCAAATAGAGTTATCTCAATAAGTTAATCACATGTTGATTTTACCCTGTATTTCTTTTAAGTTGCCCAGAGCTTGCAGATCAGAAAGGCCCAGAAGAAATGAACAAAGATAGGGATACCAGGAAATAGGGTAGGGGCTTGAAGGGATGAGGAATCTTTTCCAGACCACCAATTACCTTTACACCTCAGTCTGTAGACTACATTAAATAAGACGGATTGAAAGGAAAGTAATATGTATACAATTAAAAAGCAGCTTATAACTAGGAATCAGTTATCAATGAAAGGGTCTGAAGTCTTTAAAACTCACCAATCAAGAGGTCTCCATCTGAATTGTAAAAACATCTGAAACATATAGGATAATTCCTATGACTTTCTATTTTAACAATGTCCAGACAAATGAATTCACTGCACAAATTATTGCTCAGTAGACAGGCTAAGCCAGGCTTAGTGCTAGGCATGAAATGATGAGCAAAATGACCTCATCTCTGCCTTCACGGAGCCTTAGAGTCTAGTAGGAAGTCAGACTGCAATCCAGCAATTACAGAACCGTCTCATAAACTGTAATGCGCCATAGAAGTCCAGTTCAGGGGGCTGAGAGAGTAGTGGACCTGATCTAGTCTGAGGCAGCAGCCAAGGTTTTCCTGAAGAGGGGACGCTTGACTTGAGATCTGAAGAAATCATCCAGGCAAGGACTCGGGGGTGGGAGTGATACAGGAGAACATTTCAGGCAGAAGGCTGCTCTGAGGCAGGAGGGTGGATGGAAGGTAACAGGAACTGAATGAAGGCTAACGTATTTGATAGCTCAGGTAGAGAGAGAGAGGAGGTGCCTCATATCACACTGAACTCTGAGGGACATCTCTAGTGTCTTGTCATAGGGCCATGATCTTGGCCCTGATTAATGGCTCAGAGAAGTTAAATGACTTGTCCAAGTTCGCTCAGCCAGGAAGAATGGACTGGGCTTTGAACACAGTGGTCTGGTTTCAGAGATAGTGGGCAAAACTGTTATGATACTCTGCTTCCCAAAGAAAAGGGAAAATACCTTTTATATAAAAGTTTTTCTGATTGAAAAAAAAATCTAATATGTAAGTTCTCCTATTCAGGATCTTTAAGTTTACACAGTTATTAGTCTGTCAGTTTGACCTGCCACCAACAGGTAGTCCTAATGGCTGCTCAGGTAGTATGATTTCGGACTCAAGAACAACCCTGGGGAACCTTAGAAGTTAAGGATATTCTAACTCAAGCCTGATTAAAGTCTAAATGCTTCTTGGACTACTCCAGTTTCAGTGCCCCATTATTCCTTTTCTGCTTGCATTGTTATGTGACATTCTTGCTTCCCAGGTGGTGCTAGTGGTACAGAACCCACCACCCCTCACCGCCACCCCCTGCCAGTGAAAGAGACATAAGAGACACAGTTTTGATCCCTGGGTTGGGAAGATCCCCTGGAGGAGGAAATGGCAATCCACTCCAGTATTCTTGTATGGAAAGAATCCCATGGACAGAGGAGCCTGGTGGGCTACAGTCCATGGAGTTGCAAAGAGTCAGACATGACTGAAGCAACTTAGCACACACGCATAGGACATTCTTATTATGTCACAGGAGTCAGTCAAGATAGAAATGCTCATTTATTGTCATTATTTTTAAATGTATTTTAAGATTTCTCTGGGGTTAAAAAAAAAAAAAAGCAGTAACAGAAACAACCACCCAGGCTTCACCCTCTGGGCAGCAGCTCTTAGGGAAGGGGGCTGACCTGTTGTAGGTCTGAGCACTTACCTATTCCCCATGGAGGTGTTACAGAGGAAAATGTGGATAGCAAGCCCATTGTTAGACCTAATGTCTCCAGCTCCACACAAGGTATGCAGGCCCTGGGAAAGATCCACACAAGAGGGAAGGGTGAATGCAGCCAGCCCTCCCCCAGGTTCCTGAGAATCAGAGGCAAGTTCTACTAGGGTCTTCCCTTTGGGACCAGGCTGCCTATGGGGAGCCTTTTATGTTTTGTAGATGTCAGCCCACCCTCATTGCTAGGCTTGGCCCTAGATCTGGATTGTCTTAATGGCTCCATCTGAATTGACTTTAGAGAACATCAATTCATTACTTGATGTTTTATCAGTGTAGTGCTTAAGATCACCCTGAGATAGAGTTTCCTTTGGAGGTAAAATCAGGCCTCTAGGAAGCTTGGGGAGGAAGGTTGCAGCATTAGGGCCCAATGAATGAACCTCAGATAACACGTCACTACCTGGGCAACTGTGTGCTTACAAATAGGGTCAACCCTAATCTTTCCAGAACAGGGTAGAGGAAAGTATTCTGACCAACTGTAATCCTCTCTGCTAATAACCCACAGTCCCAAAGACCTTAACACACGGGCCTTTCTGAAAGGAGGGAGCTCTGCTCTCTAGTTATTCGTAATTCACTCAGGATGAGAGATTTCTTTTGGTATTTTAACTCATTTTGCAAGTTTGGGGCCTGTTTAGAGGAGTCTTGCACAGGGCTTGGAGCATTTAATATGGATAAAGAATTTAATAGGATACAAACAGTTTGGCCTAAGGCTGGGTACCTGGACTCTTCCCTAAGCAAGCCAAGGACTGAGGTTGGTCTGTAGAACCCTCCCCCGGCTTCTTTGAGCCCCACCTCCTTATAGCTCCTGGTCTTTCCCCCACATATGCTTTCTCTGAGCACAGATGTTCCAATACTCGCAGCACCTGTAACTAACAAGCAGAACTTCTAATCTTCATTGTACTAACCGAAGTTGCCACCCTGAGTTGATGCTATTCTAATCTAGGGATCCATTTTGGAGAGTTCATGACCTTGGATGAGAAAAATAATGATATATGTATTTCTCTAACCTCTGACTGAAGTTTATCATTTCCTTGAATTAATGTGAATGAATGTAAGCAACAAACCCTAGTGGTTTTAGAAGTGCCTGTAACAGTATAGTTGTTTCAGATATCTCAAAATATTTATGCTTATATATTTAATAATCATAGTTATTAGATCTTTTCATAGATCTTGTGATTTAGTGCATTAAAAAGGCAGCATATATATTACTCTAAAGCAAGCCAAATTTGTTATTTGAATATTTTTATAATTGTATTTCAATATAATTGGCTACTTTGTAATTTTATCTAATTTATTTTATGCATTTAAAAACACAGGCTTCCAGACTATCAAAGAAGTCCCTGGAACAAAAAAGCTCAGAACCCCTGTTCTAGCCAAGAACAAAGAAACCTGAAGTTGGTAAATGCTGAATTTCCACTGGCTGTTTGGAGGTGTAAATAATTCACGAGTGCCCTTTGGTGTCAGGGGCCATATGGTGCTGGTGAGTAAGACATCCCTTGGCCAGCCTGGAAGGCAGAGGCAGGTGGTGCTGTCTGCTGCCTGACTCCAAGGCTGCTTCTGCTTGGCATCCAGCCTGAAAATGGCTGTATCGCCCACCATGGGAGAGAAGAGAGTGGTGGGCAGGTGTGGATAGTATGGACTTACATTCACGAAGTCCACTTTCTCCTGAGAGGCTTTTGGAATCTCAAATGGTTTCCATCGCAGCTGGAAAAAAAAAAACACACACAGACACATACAGGAAAGTTATTTCAAAAGGGGAAACCATTGACTTTCTAAAGAAATCGCATAAAAAGGATAGCTGCTCCCTCTGTGAGGCTGTGACGACTTGTGATTTTGCTGTTTTCAATTTAATAATTATCCATCATTTCCTTAAAGGGGCTCAGTTGGGTTTTGTGTGGGTATGCAGGGTGGGTGGGTGTGTGTGAGAGTGTGTGTGTGTGAGAGAGAGAGAACATTTAACCTTTATGTATACATACTGTCTTCATTCCTTAGCATTTTAAATTACAAAAATATAGAAAAATCACTGTTTCCTACTTCAGAAACTATTTCTTTTAACATTTTGCTCAGGCACATCATTGAGTTTTGACTGATGCTGCTCTTTGTGCTATTTATAATCAGCTCCCTTTCCTGGTGTGGCAGCCTCAGTATGTGGGCTCCTGACACTGCAGGGGAAGGTTCTAGTTCTTACTTCCAGCCCTTGGAGTTTTGAATTATTTCTTTGAGAGAAAGAAAAAATTGAGATTGCCTTTAGTAAGTGCAGTACCAGGTTCAGTTTCTTCACCAACCCTGTGCTTGTCCCCAGGCTGCCTGACAGTGCTGTTTAAATCACAACAATCTTTAATTTAATAATGAAATGATCTAAGCAAGTGGGAAATAAAATCAGCAGGTCTGAGCTCTACTAGAAGTATCAGCCCAGCACTTATTAATCAACTTGGCAGCAGGCCTGACCCAGGCAGGTTGGCAGCTGATAGCCCCAGGAGCCTCAGGACATCTCAGGGAGGGACCTGCACCCAAAGGGCCAGCTCCATTGGCTGCAGTGCCTGGTCAACGCAAGCCAGGCTGGCCCTCCAGCAGGTCTTGGGGTTCAGCTCATTCTGTAGTCCAGAGAGGCAGCCAGGTAGTGGAGGAAACAGCGAAAAGGCGGCTCTGGGATGATCCTGCCTCTCTGATGCACACAGTCAGACAACAGCCTTTACTTCTTAAAGGCAAAGCAGGATTGTCACATTCTAGGGCTACCTTAAAAGAATGTAAGTCGTTGATTTGAAAAACATTGAAATCATGCTTCAGAAAGAAGGAAAAGGCTTAATTCCACTAAAGATGATATTTCATGGAGGAGTTGTGGGACCTGAGAGCAAGAATCAGGAAAGGGTTTCTCCTCTCAGACTCTATTGGCATTTTGTGTCAGATAATTCTTTGTTGTGGGGGCTGTCCTGTGCACTGTAGGATGTCTACCAGCATCCCTGACCTCTGCTCACTGGGTGCTGATAGCACTCTCCCAGTTGTAACAGCCCCAAATGTCTCCAGACATCGTCAAATGTCACTAGGGGACAAACTTCCCCTGGTCGAGCACCATGGACATAGGAGGATATTCCCCCGACATCAGCCAGGGCCAAAGCTAAGTGCCGCTGGCTTATTGAGGGGGGTTTTGGTCTACCACAAACCGTTATGTGCTGCTCTCTCTTTAGTAGCAGCATGGAGTTTGTAACCCAGGAAGATTGCCTGGAAGATCATACAACCTAGAATCCTGACCCTAAGGAAAGTCATCATTCTAGATTTCCCAGTGGAAAGAATTTACTATACTTGGCATATCACAAACAATAATAAAGACCCCAAGGCGGTTCTGATAAACCCAAAATCCAGAAGAAGAAGTGAGTTTTGGGTCTTCTTCAGGCAAGAGTTTTGGTGCAATATCATGTTGAATGCAGGGAGGCAAATTTGAGGAGAGGATAAACAGGAAGAGGCCCTGGAGTAGAGGGTGGAAACATCTACTAAACGCGGATGTTCAGACTAACTGCATGCTGTGGAGCAGAAACTCTCTGATACAAGGCCAGCCCAAGGGCACTGTGCACTGGGCTGACCCAGGAGACATGGGTTCTGTTGCTCCCTCTGTTCCTATTTATTCTGTGACTTCTGGAAAGTCATTTCATTCTTATTAACGAATTTAAGTCTATAAATTTTTAACAGTTTATTTTATTCATACTGTATATTATTGCTAAAGAGCCCCCCGCCATGGAATGCAATTATTAACATTTCAAAGACAATGAAATCCATTGGAGCATCCAATACAATATCTTGACTATTGCAGATATTAATATATTTGTACTGAATGATAGAATGAATGAGCAAATATAAGAAACTGAGAACATTACTAATATCTCAAAGAACAAGACTAAAGCAAATTTGTGAGACTTTTGGAAGTCCAATAACATTCAGGCAATAGCTAGTAAATTGAAAATTGTTTTTGAAAGTCCTAAAATTGTTTCTAAAATATAAATCAATTCTTTATACATGTGAAAACCCACAGTTTTTCTATATCCTTTCTGATTTTCTGTTCAGTTCTATCAACTCTTGAGAGGTGTTGGTGTTTCCCACTATAATGGTGGATTTAATCTATTTCTCTTTTCAATTCTATCAATACTTTACATATTTTGCAACTGTGTTCTGCAAATTCTACTAGAAAATAAAGTTTTGCTTAGTATAAGTGAGGTGGTCAAAAATAACTTGAAAAACATCTTCAACAGAGACTAAAGTTAGAAGTAAAAATTCTTTCAATTTATCAAAGGGGAAAGAGAATCCGTGGTAACATTTAATGATCAGGATTTGAAATTTGTGCTCAGGGATGTAAATGAAACTAGAGAATTGGACTCAGTATTTCTAAAGTCAGAAGATTGGGAGATATACTGGATGATCTGAGTATCACCTCCCACAGTTGGTTTCTTTTCTTCACTGAGAGTCCCTCCAAAGTTGCGCTGGTCTCAACTAAATTGTATGAGTTGGATACTCTCAACAACATTGGTGGATTAGAGGTAAACATATTGCTAGAAGTTGGTAATATCTATTCAAGAATTTGGAAGTTACTTGTAGATGCAGTTGTGATCACAATGTACAAACAATTGTTAACAACAGCTATGGCTAGGTGAGGCTCAGGGTAATTCACTACTGAGAATTTCAGCCCAGACTAGAAGAGATAGGGGAGGGAGATAAAATAAAACAGTGGCTCAGTAAGTTCTTTGGAAAACCTAGAATTTGAGGGAAATGGCAGCATAATTTACATGGCAAGAAATCAGGCTTTGGGTGACTCATTGGACATCTTAGAGGTAATAAGTAAGAGCATGGGTAAAGAAGATTTAAATCACTGTACTTTGTTTAGACTTCTTTTTTTTTAATTGTTTAGACTTTTAAAAGTCTTTCATGAGAAGATGAAAAAAGATGAGCTAGCATTGTATTTAGATGACACTTGTTCATGGACAGAAACCTGGATAATTGACCTTGCCCTTGAGTGTAAAGTTACGGGCTTTATACCCTTTACTCAGCACCCAGCATAGAGCAAGGAACATAGTGGTCACTCAACAAATAGTTGTTGGATGATGTTTAATTCTCACAACAACCTTCTAGGGCTCCCATAATTTAATTATTATCTCTATTTTATAGTGACAAAACTAATGGTTTAGAACAGTTAAATTTCCTTTACTCAAAACTGATGCTAACAATCTCTCAACCTCCTTTAGTAATCTAAACCCTGAGCCCTTTAATCTCAGCTGTCTTGATCTACTTCCAAAACCATTTATGATCTCCATGGCTCCTGAACCCAGGTTTTGGCTCCTTTTAATGGCCTTGTACTTGGTCTTCTAATCTGGGCCCTTATCTACTGCTCCTCCAGGGCTGAGTTGCCTTGGCCTAGTCTAACTCCTGGGACCCAAATCCTGCTAAGGTCGTTCAAGGTCAGCATTCCTGTCCAATCCCTATATATTCACTTATTCAAATGATTTACTATCCCTCTCCACATGCCAGGTTTTGTGCTAGGTACCAGAGGTGAACATGATAGTCTCTGCCCTTGGGGAAAGAGAAGACCCTGCAATATGGGCACATTATGATAGAAAAACAAGGAAATGGGTAACTGGAAATGAGGAATGTTCCCTCAGGAATAATTCCTGGTGCAGGGCGTATTTAACATTCTTACACATGAACAATAAAAGACACACACAATAGAATAATCTGGTTTTCAGATAGCTCCAACATCTTTTCCAAGGAATTAAATGTAAGTTGATGGAGACGTACTGTAAAAAGAGCCAGCATGCTGTCTAAAAGGCTTGAACAGGGCAATGTGCACTGCACTGTTGGCAAACGTCAGTGAATGCATTTAGAGAAATGCAATCTAGTCTATTTATAGGAGGATGGGATTGGAGCTATCAGGGAAATTCTTCAACAAATACTTGTGATTATACTGTCTGGAAGAAGGCATATGCTGGGTACTTCAGGTTGTACAAAAATGAGGGAGACATAGCTCCTACTCTCAAATACTCTGAGAAAAATATTGGAAGAGTTCAGTGAAGCAAGTAGTATTTAAGAAGAAAATAAAAGTGAAAGTCACTCAGTTGTGTCCCACTGTTTGTGACCCCACGGACTATACCGTCCATGGAATTCTCCAGGCCAGAATACTGGAGTGGGTAGCCTTTCTCTTCTCCAGGGGATCATCCCAACCCAGGGATCAAACCCAGGTCTCCTGCATTGTGGGCAGGTTCTTTACCAGCTGAGCCACAAAGGAGTTTTAAACTATGGGTGAAATTTGGATGGGTGGATACTTGTGAGTGAAGTAGAAAAAATTCTAGGTAAATGGAAGAGCATAAGGCACCCAGGCAGGAAAATTTAGACTATCTTCCTAGGATGGTGAAAGTTCCAGGTTGGCTGATGGACATGGAAGAGTGAGGTGTTCGAAAGGTTCAATAGTGAACTACCTGTCTTGGGAGTCTGCATTTGATTGGCTGGGCAGTGAGAGAGAGGTAATAGCAGGATTTAAGGATTTCTGAGTAATAATTTGGTAAGCTGAGTCTGGCAGTAAGGTGTAGGAAAGGGTGGGAAGACACATGGATCAGTTAGGAGGCCCTTATAACAGTCAGTTAAGAGGAAGTGAAGTCCAAATCACATGGTGTTAAGAAAAGAAAGGAGAGTATAGATACCAAAGACATCTTGGGAGCAATTCTATG